TTTGGTGGTGATTTCAGACAGGTGCTGCCTGTGTTGCGTAGGGCCACTAGAGATGAAACAATAGGTGCTTGTCTGAGTAGCTCATACATATGGCCGTTGCTTACAAAACTGCACCTTGTGGAAAACATGCGGGCGCGTTTAGATCCTTCATTCACGGAGATGCTTTTGAGAATAGGAAATGGACATGAATGTACGTACGATGAGGACCTTGTTAAGATACCGCCTTCAATAGCTATTTCAGAACCTCTTGCTGACGACTCCTTGGATGAACTAATTAGAATAATTTATCCAGATCTGGCGCACCTAACAGAAACAGAACTTTCAGTGAATAGGGCAATTCTGACAACCAAAAATAGCTTTGTAGATGAGGTCAATGCAAAGCTCATAAATGAGTTCCCAGGTGATTTGGTGGAGTACTTGAGTTTTGACAAGGTTGAGAATCCAGCCCATGAAGCAGAGTATGGAGACTTGATAAATTCGCTGACGCCGAGCAGCATCCCAGAACACCGGCTGATGCTGAAAAAAATGCACCGGTTATACTACTGCGAAATATGGACCCTACGGAAGGCCTTTGCAATGGAACAAGACTGGTGTGCCAAAAACTGGATAAGAATGTCATCCACGCTGAGATTTCGGTTGGAGACTTTGCGGGAAAGAGTGTTTTCATCCACCGAATACCGTTTGATCCTTTACCAGAAGAACAATACCCGTTCCCTACAAGCGCATCCAGTTTCCAATTCGCCTGTGTTTTGCAATGACGATAAATAAGGCTCAAGGCCAGACGCTCGACTCAGTTGGTGTTTATTTGAGAGAACCGGTTTTCTCGCACGGCCAACTTTATGTTGCTTTGTCGCGTGCAAAAACCTCGCATTCTGTAAAGATGCTGATTAAACCGCCGTTTGCCAACGACCAGCGTTTAAACTACACTAAAAATATAGTCTACGCAGAAGTGCTGCAGGCTGCTGGAATTATCTAAATTTGTTGATCCGAGGTTTGTGTTTTAGACATACTGTTTGTTTCTATGTGCATGATTTATCTGGCGCGTGTTGATTTAGTTATTTTTCCTGTGCAGGACATATGCCTGGCTGTGGATCTTCGGAGGTCATGTGTGGCAAAGGATTTCTTCATGTGTCTCTACGGTAGCGCCTGCGTTGGGTGGCAAAGATTACAATATTGTGGAGTTTTTTTTTCCTCTTTGGTTTTCGTGTTGGCGCATTGGTGTGGCCCGCTTGTGCTGGTGAGAAGTGTCTATTTTTGGTGTGTTCGCCGCTCGGCACGTGTGCACAATTCCCGCGCCTCTTATTTTATGTGCCGGCCATGGTGGTCGGGGCATACTAAGGCTGGCTTGTGCTTCCTTTTTTTAGCTGGCTGCCCTGAGGACAGAAATGTTTACATTTTATTGTAACTTGTGCCGTACTCTCTTTTGATCAGTTATGTGTTCTTTCTTTTCATTTAATGTCCTGTGCCTCGGGTTTCTTCTTCCTGCTCATTTAACGGTTTTTTCACAACTTCTTTTATTTTCTTCTGGTCATTTATTATTCCATTCTATAGGTTGTGGGTGTTCATTTAATTTGCTGGTCACATTATTTAGTTTTCCTGTTCATTGAATGTTTTTTTCGTTCAAGCTCATTTACTTGTTCTGATGAACTCTAACAAGTGTATTGACATCCTTTTATGTTGTACCTTGTTGTACCTTTATTCGTCCATGTTTAACTTTTATTTATTAGTTTTTTTTGTGGCTAATTAGCTTTCAAATACAGTAGTGTTCATTTTTCGTCTTGCTTATAATTAATTCCAGTGGTGTAATTTTGCAGTCGCACATTTTGGCTGCATTTAGGTTTTGTTTTTCTGTTCTCTTGCTGTAATTGAACTTGTGGCCGCCAACTTTTGGGTGCCCAATTAATGCAAGTTCTTACAAATGTTTTGTTGCGCCAATGTTCATCACGTGTGTTTAAAAAAATATTGTTGGGACCGTTGGTTTGGGGAGAAAAAATTGATGACAGGTGAGTCCCTTTTGTTTTGCCCGTGCCTAAATTGGTTACATTTTGCGGTGTTAATCTGGGAGTGATGCAAAAAAATTAAAGAACGTCAAAGACGTTTGAACAAACAAGTGGGGTGAAAAACGATACCAGTTCTGTGTGCTTCATTAAACCACACATTTGAACTTCTAAAAAATTCTGTTCGGAGTGATTTACTAAACAGACAAAGGGAAAAATGTATTGGTTTTTCTTTTGCTAATAAATTTTTTTTCTAAAGTCCCAAATATAAATTTTATATCTAGGTATGAAAGGACGATATCAGTGTTCTGGGTTGCATATTGTTGTCGTCAGATTACAACGTTAGGTCACCTAACCATTTAATTGTTTCAACTGCTTAGAATGATAAGTGTAATTTGGGGTTTAAAATACTGTGCTTTTGGTGGGGGTCTATATTTTTTGGGGGTATACATTAGTTTGGGTATTTATTTGGGTACTTAGTAATTTTTTCCCCACGAATTTTTAAATGAACTTATAACCATGGTTTAATTGGATATTAATAAACCGGGTCTCGACACTATTTCCTTATACCAGTACCAGATAATTTATAGCTGCCCCAATCGCGTGCACTGCCTTGTGCAGGTCTCGTGGTCAACTGAAATCCGACGAAGGATTACAGTATGGGCTTATTGTACGGCAGATCTTCTCTGCGCATGTACCTACCAACTCGCGTCGTGGGGCAAAAATCTCATCGGTCATTTCCCCTATTGCGTTCGTGCACTTTGGGAATTAGGGTTGTACGAACGCCCCCGATTTTCTGCAACACAATAGCACTTTGAAGGCTACTGCACGCAAGAAGAAGTGAAACTGAATTGCCAAAACGTTGAGGCAGTGGCACAGAGAACGTAATCTCTGCTGCCCTAGATCTGCGTGGGGTTATTTTTGGTGTGGTGTGCACGCCTCAGCTTTTCTGTTCTAACTGATTTTTCGCTCTCACTGGGGTCTCAGAGATTGGCAGAAAAGGTGATGTGACTGACTCAATCACTGGTACACTTTGGGGTTTGGGCACGCGATTTCAGACTGGAAGTGGGGTCGGTGGAAAAAAGGCAGGTCTTTAGGGCGTGGATGTTGTGTACTTGCACAACAGTGGCACCTTTATTTGCTGTTGCCAACTA